GTGAGACCTCGAAAGTGAAATTGTTCTTATTCCCCTGTGCTCCTCCAATATGCTCCCATAGCAGCCAGGGAAGCAAGAGGAGCTTTTAAACATGCAACTCTGATCTGGCCTGTTTTCTGCTTCATACCCTTCAGTGATTTCCCTTTTCTCTTAGGACAGGCTCCACATTCCTTAATATGGCTCACAGACCCTGGACCCTGAATCGCTGGCACTTGCCCACCTTCACAGCCCTCCTCCCCCCAGCCTTCTGCAGCCACTCCGCCCACCTCCTGCTCCTAGAACAAGCTACTTCCCACTCAGTCTTCACAGGGCTATTTTTTCTGCTTGGAATCATACTCTTCCACTCTGTTGCCTGGCTAGCTTCAGGTCTCTGCTTAAATGTTACTTCCTCCGGGAAGCGTTCTCTGAAGCTCTTTGTTCTTTTCTTTCCCAGTACTTAGCCCTTTTGAAATTAAATAATTATTTGTGTAAGTATGTGTTTAACATCGGTCTCCCTACAAGCTGTCAATGCCATGGGCAGCGAATACTTGTAATTCTACCTCATGACTGCATTCCTGCCACCGAGCACAGTGCCTGGCACACCGGAGACACTGGAAAATTATTTATTGGATGAATGGATGGATGAATGAATAATAAAATGGTATGGAAGTCCAGGATACAAGCCTAGATGTGAAAACACAAATTTTAGCTATCATCGGGTTTCTAGACATTTATTTGCTGTAGGAGGGTTTAGCCTCTGTAATTACCAAGTACATTGAGAGAGTCATTTGCCATCAATGGTCAACCTGGAGAGAGATCTTGGGCATCCTGAGCTGACAGAACCTGCTGTGACCGTGTTCCTGTTGAAAGTTTTTATCAACACCTGAGATGAGGATGTTGGTGTAGCGTTAACAACACCGACAGAAAAGGCTGGAGCCAGTGACATAATGTGTCCAAAAGGATCTCACTCAACAGCTTAGAGAGGTGGATCAAATTTAATAAGGAAAAATACAGAACATTGGACTTCAGTGCCCCACATCTGACTGAACAAATACAGGATAAAGGACCTTAAGAGCAAAACATGAAATGTGTGGAGATTTTAACTGACCGCATGAATCAGTCATGTGGCCTGCCTGCCAAAGATGCTGATTTGATGTGAGTCTCCTTTAATAGAAACAGTGTGTGGAGGATGGCAGTCATGGAACTTCCCCAGCTGGACCACCCTTGCGGGGGCCACATCCAGTTCTGAGAAGCAGAGGTTGAGGGAGAGTAGAATTTGGTAGAATATAATAGGGTTGTCAAACAAAGGGCAGGACCACTGGATTTGTTCTCTTATAGATGGAAAGAAAAGACCTGGGGCCACCAGGGAAATTCCAGGGAAGTGTCTCTCAATTTCATGTTAGGAGCTGCCCAACAGGGAAGTGGGCAGTGCTGAGCTCCCCTCTGCTAAAGGAAATGACACTTTAGGAATTACACAGGAGAGTGCAAACTGAGTTTGGGAAGCTCTCTGTGGGCTCAGGGAGGGCATCTCAAGGTGGGAGAGTCCCTTCCTCCTTTATGTAGTTCGGCCCCTCAGGATATTTGGAGTGCCAAGCCAGAGATACATGGCCAGTTAAATAACTATTTATAGAGATCTCCTCCATTGTGTCTGGAATTCCCCAATCTAGCCTCACTCTTAGAGGATAATCTTATTTGTCCTTATTTTTGTCACATGGGCCACCGTTAGAAGCAATAGAGAGGGGGCGGAAAGAGCCCCTGTTATAGAGGGAATTGATGCATGGCGGAAAAACTGGACAGGTTGCTGTCAAGGTCCCTCTGCACCGTGTTTCTGTCTTCCCAGTAGAAGGCAGAAGAAGTAAGTGCTCTGAAATTAGGGGGAATTAAGAGAAGATGTGGGAAATATCTTAAAGAGCCTTTATCATACACAGGATGAAATACAAGGAAAATTAGAATGATGATCATATTCTATAAAGCTGTTTTTCACAACTGTGGTGGTTGATAAATATGCTTGGTTACCCCAACCCAGGAGCACTGTATGTATCCCTTGGCCCCAGAGGAGGACTGCAGGGAGATTATGAATGAGACAGAGTAAATTACCCTTCTAGAGAGAAAAACAGAAAGTGCAACTCTTCCTGCTAATATCCCATTTTCTGTTATTCTCTTTGAATCTACATGATGGAGCTTATTTTCTATGAAGAAGCCAATAAAAGGTACCTGAAAAGAGATACATGGTCAACTAAAAATTATTTTTCTTTAGTTCTCTTTCTCTTCCTTGGTTTGGACCTGAAAACTTACTTTCGTGGGGGGGGGCGGGAAGCAAACACATGTAGCTAAGATTGTCCATCAACCTGTGTCAGAGGGTGACATGCAAATATTCTCATTAAAGTTTAGCTCAGGATAGATACATTTGATGATACCCATCACTAAAGGAAGCAGTGTTCACGATAGCAAAGAGTTGTTCTCTCTGTTATGAAATAATAAATTCATTGATTAAAACACTGCATTTTCCAAAAGAGAGTACACTTCACACTAGAATTTGGTATTGCTTTCCAAGCATATGGCCATAGCAATTGGAAAACTGACTTGAATTTTAAAACAGGGATTTTAAAATGGAGTTGGGCTTGACATTTATTAGCTGCCTGACTACTTGCAAATGACGTAACTTGCCTATGCCTAAATTCCTTCATCTATAAGGTAAGGATAATGATGCCTACCTTGTATGGTTCTTACAAGTGTGAAATAAGAAATGTATAGGTGCCCCTGCATAGCATAAAAGCAAGCACTCAGCTAATAGGAGTCACTGACAGAGCTGGGGCCACACTGTTGTCAGTCTTGTGGAGTGCAGAACTGTGGCTGCCTGGAGCAGCAATCGGGGTGCACAGCTTAAATAGCATTAGCTTTGGGGAGTTGGAGAGAGATCTCCATTAACTTCAGATTTTCATGAGGGAAGGACACATTAATTCCAGTCACTTCTTTGATCGATACCCTGGTCATATAAAGGAAGTAACATCAGTTTTTGAAAATTACTTGAATTAGGAGTTTCCTGGTTAAATTTCATTGAACTTCCTACAAGTAACTTAGGGACTTCTGTACTTACTTTGGTCTGGTCACTGGGTGCCACTTAGCACCTGCTTGCTGTTCTGACGAAATGAACCAGTGGGAACTGCTGAGTGTGTCCATCAATTATCAGTGCCCTTGGTTCCCTGAAAGAGTTAATGATACCCAACTACATCTAGTGAGAGCAATCTGAGAGAGTCAAACTCAAAGATGGGTTTTTGTTTGTTTGTTTTTTAAATACATTATCTGCATGTCCCAGGTAGGTCAGCTAGGAAGGTGGTAAGATATGGTTGAATTACTTGAAGTGCTTAAGAAATGACCCTGATAGAATATCCATAGGGGTTAGGAAACGGAATTTATTTCTTGGTTTAGCATTTTGGCAGAAATTACTTGGCATTTGTCACTTGCAAGATAAATAGAAGTTCTGATTTCTGTTCTCAAGAAAATACACTTGGCTCCTTACTTTCTCTGCGCTTACCCCTTGGCCCTCATTTTGTATTAGAATTTGAAGGGGTAGACTCAGTACTTGGCATTTAGTCAATTTGATGAGTTCACGTACTCTCATCCCTGGGTTATTAAATAGTTCAAAGATAAATATTGCAGCAACTTGTTGAATATGCAACATGCATCTGATTTGAGTGGCATTTTATAACAAATGGTGATTATTTAGTATTTACATATACTTTGAAAGTATTTCAGATTAGCTTTTATTAATAGTGAGTAGTCAAGTATGTAACTGGGCTCCATGGGCAAGAGAAAAATAAAATTTTGATTTTCCACAAAAAGGTTCAAACTCGGAAAGAGAGAAAAATACATATGTGTCTTTGTATATGTATGCATATGTGGGACAGATACATGTCCCAAGCGACATGACTGAAGGAGATTAACTGGACCAAAATTTAGGCTGCCTAGTGAACCAGGCATGAAACCTTAGTTTCATGTAAGTCGGCGACCTGCTCTCACTGCCTGGGCTTTTGTGCAAAGACTGGAGGAAGCTGTCAACGGCCTGGATTCTGAGAACATTCCTGCCCCAGGAGGGAAGGCTTGTGATGAGCTCATGGGGCTTTCCAGCGCTGACCGCCAGCCGTGGCAACCACGAGTTCTCCAGTAGTGAAACCTGGCCTCTAGGTTATCAAGCGTCTATTGTAACATATTCGGCTCTAAGCAGAGGTCACTATTTTAAGGATGACTCAAGTCCTGGGGTCAAATGGAGATGACTGATGGGGTCTATGAACACAGCTGGTCCTTCCCAGTAAGGGGAGTGAGGGTGACACTGGCGTGTGTAGACTGGTCCTCCCCGGAGGAACTGCATGGACGCATCTTGGACAAGAGTGATGAGAGTGCATTACGTTGGCTTCCACAATCCCGGGGAAGTGTTAAATTGTTTCCCTTGTCTCCCCTGAGGGAGGGGGACTCGCCGTTGCGCCATCTCGCACTTTTCCTGGCTCAGACCTGGCCCCGTCCACGTTCTCCTCCTCTGTCCGCAGACCCCCCCCCCCCAGCCGATCTTGCCCTATCTGCAGACCACCACTCCCGAGGAATGGGGAGGTTGGGGGGGCTTGTTCAGGCCTGCTGCACTGAGGTCGCTGCGGTCGGGGAGGGCGCGGGGAGGAGGAGGACCCCGGGCGCAGCCGTGGTGGGTGCGCCCTGCCAAGAAGGGCGGGGGCGCCGGAGCGCGCACGCGGAGTGGGAGAAGGAGGGAGCGGGGAGGGCGTGTGAGAGAGAGAGAGCCACAAGAGAAGGGAGCGCGCCCGCCGCCGCCGCCCTCCTCCGGAGAAAGCTGGAGTGAGGCTGTGCGAAGCGCCGCATTTCAATGAGAACCGGCACAGGCACATCCCTGCACTAGCGGCTGCAGCCCAGACGCCCGCGCTCCAGCAGCTGCTGCAGCCCAGCCCCGGCCCCGGCCCCGCCGCCTCCCCGCCGCCCCGCCGCCCCGCAGCCCCGCAGCCCCGGCCGCGCCCCGCCGGGTGAGGACAGCACCAGGAGGCGGCCCCGAGCGCGGCCACAAAGACCCCGGGCGGCGTCTCTCCGCGGACCGGTGCGTGCTTTGCCTTCCCTGGGGAAGGGAGCTGCGGGCAGGGCCGGCCGAAGGGGGGGGGGGGCTCCGCCGGGGGCTCGCAGCGCCGGCTCCTCCCGCAGCCGCGGGGCGCCGAGGTAGCCCCGGGCGTGGAGGACAGGGCGGGCTCCCCTCTCGGCCCGCCGCCGCCACCCAGCCCGCTGTTCCTCGAAAGGCGCTGCCCTGCCGTGGCCAGTGTGTACGGGCGGCCCCGGGGCTGCTGGCACCTGCCTCTTTTGTCTGGTGCCACCGGGCTTGAAACGGGGAGTAGGGCGCGCGCCCCCCACCCTCCCCGCCAGGCGTTTCGCCACGCTGTTGGTGGAGATGGAGAGCCTGAGCGGAGGAGCTGGGCGAGGTGTTTGTCATTGTCAGAACTGGCCGCGGAGCGAGGACCAAGTCTGCGCCTAGAAGGAGTGGCCGGGCCAGGCCTCTTATTGTGTGTGTGCTTTCCCGTGTGCCCGGGAGGGTGGTGTGCTTGAAGATGGGGCGATCTGTGCGTGGTGGATGACTGCAGTGTGGGTGTTGCAAGTACATTTGCAGGGTCTCAAGTTCCTTCAGGGACAGCGAGGCTGCCTCATGTACAAATTAGTACCTGCAGTGCTAAAAGCATGCGGAGAGGAAATGGCATTTTCCTCCTAGTGGGAGCGCACGCACAACCCTGCATTGCCCCACAAAAGAGGCTGCTTTTGAAAACCAGGTTTGCGCGGAATCCCTGCTGGATTTGGAAAGGCAACGCTTGTAAGAGATGGAGCAAATGAAGGGTTTCATTCAAACCGGCTCCTTCTCTCCACACCTGTGAGTGTGTGTCTAGATTATGGTGCACACGCGTTTAGCGGCCACACTGCAGGGTGTTCCGTGAATACGCTTTATGAATGTTCCTAAATATATCGCCTTTCCACTGGAAAGGAAAGTAGGACAGGCTTTAAAGTATGAAATGTCACATGAAGGTGGTCAGAAGGGATTTTAAGAGGGGTTATATGTAGGAACATTATAAAAGATTGGCACACATCCTGTGATATCTGTGTCCGAGGTGGTGCATGCCCTCTGAAGGTGTGTGTGCGCGCGCGCGCACGTGCCTCATATTCCACCCCTGCCCATCCACCTGCATCTTAATCCCACTGGCAAAATATCCCTTGGGACTTCCAGGTCCGGCATCTGTTTCGATGTGGTAATCTTTATGACGAATTATTTCTTGGGGTGTGTGTGTGTGTTTGTGGAAATCTCTGAAGCAGGAACTCATATCCTTATCTAGAGAAGGATGAACACAGAGGTTCTTCAAAATGGTGAGAAATCCCACAGAAGACAATTGAGGATGCTGATTTCTTGGCATGGAGGTGAGGTGTTTATAGGAAAATCTCTGGTAAGAGCCAGGCCCCCTTCTTCCCCTCCCAGGTGTCTGTGATCTCTGTGGCTCCAGCCGTGCGGTTACCTTCTTGGTACCATGACACATGTGTGCGCAGGGCCCTAGCCATCGATGGTCTGTGAATGTGTGTCTCTGTGCCTTAGTGGTTTCCTGTGCAGGAAGCAAGAACCTGTGGAAGCCCAGGGAATCTCCAGGAGCTTGTGGTTCAGCTATATAACTAAGCCAACTGCAGAGCTGAGCCAGCCAAGGCAAGAGAAGGAACACCTATTTTGATGTTGCACATAATTATGGGAACATTAGGGTGTGTAATGTGGTTTTTGACATTCATTTAGTGATAGCTGTAGCCTTGAAAGTGATTCCACTTGAGTGTGGTTTTTCTTCGTCACCAGCATCATTGCTTCCTTTTGGGCAGGCTCAGAAGGGAAGTCAGAGATGTGCTTGTCCTGGTTGAAGATACACGATCAAGGTGTGAAGAAATACACAAATAAAACAAAATCAACCTTTGTCTATTTTGAAAATTGACTTTTTTTTTTTCATTTGGTGTAGAACTTCTGGTTCTAAAAGCCTGATTCCTCTAGGGAATTCCAACAGTTGCTAAATTATTTGGCTTTTGCAAATTGTAGATCAGTAAAGTCCCCTTCAGACTACATCAGCTCTCTCTGGTGACCCAATTGTGTCATCCTTTGCCTGTGGTCTTGCTTGTTGTCTCTTGGTTCATATAGATTGGGGAGGAAACCCCTCAGGTTGGAAGATTGATTACTGCCTTTACAAATAAAACAGAAGCTTCAAAAGCCAACCTGGCCTTTATAATATGCGAAGTTTGAAGAGCTTAGTGAGGTGGTATGAGTATTCCTCCCCACCACCGACCACACACCCCTTTTGGAATACAAAAGAGCTCATTTTAAGAGGAGATTAAAAAAAAGTAGGAGCAATGATACCATGGGCAATTGTTGGTTCTGTTACTCAGTTAATACTGGTTCTGTTATTCACTTAATAGCTGCCTAAAGAACTGGATCACTGTTTTGAAGTTATCCAACTTAAGAATCAATGAAACTGGTTTCTATATACCTATGTATGGTATCACTTTTTCTGGAAAATACAAATTTAGGCTATTATGAGTATTAAGAGATATGAGGTAGTTTTCATGTTTGGAGGAAAAAAATACACTGAACTAATGATCGGTCCAGGTTTGAGTCCCACTCTGCCCCCCCACCCCTCGGGGTCAGCAGTAGAATGATGAGCAGGTGAAGACATTAGCGGCCTGGTGACCACTGCCCCCTCTGTCTGCAGTGCACCTTCCTCAGTTAAGTGTCCTCCGCAAGGTCACAGACCTAGTTAAGAGTGAGAGCTTTAAAAACCCCTATTTTTATAGGTGAAGGGGTCTAGGGAGGCTCTCGGGGGCCTGGTCTCTAAGACACAGCGCATGGGACAGAAAGGAGGGAGTACCAGCTTCAGAGTCAGTCTGCGTAAACCGAGGTTCAAATCCCAACTCCCTCAATTATGACTCTGGGACCCTGGATCTATCCCGTACTTGCCTTCCGTCATAATAATATTACCGACCTCATTGGATTGCTGTGAGGTTTAGAAGGGAATTTTTAGCATGTTATGCAATTGATTGCTGATTAATAGTGTCAGGCACATCATAGACATTCAATAAACCCTAGCTTTTTCCACTTCATTTCAGGAGTACACAATCTCTAGCAATGCTTTTAAACATGAATTTTGAGCTACTCTGAATGGATCGGAGGTTGTCTACTCAGGGTCAAGGAAAGGTTGGGGAGGCTTGGCAGTACTTTTGGTTAGTTTGGACTGATCTTCAGAAAGGCAACATCATCTATGTGGTGGGATTTGGGAAGCACTCGTAAGGTTCTTGACCTAGATTTTCCATTTCCCTTATATTATTTTATTTCAACATGCCTGAAATTTTGTCATCGAAACTTCTTTCCTTTGAATGCTTTCTAAATTGACCTGTTAAAAATCCTGGTCCCCTGCAAGGGTCAACATCACAAGCCTTTCTCACCTAACCCCTTAGCAAGGATGAATTGATCCCACAGGCACCTTGCTGATGACAGCACTCCATAGAAAGTAAAATGGGGACCATGGGGGTGCAAGCATATCTTTCAGAAGGTCATGAGAGGAAAATCAGGCAGACTCCCAAGGAGCTTTCCTTACCAGAAGGGGGAGAGTCTATTCCTACCTGTTCTTTCTGTGACAAAGTTAAGAACAGAAAAGCAGATTTAATTAATAAAAAACATTAATACTTATCACATGCTAGACACCCTCCCAAGTGCTTCATGTATTCATACTCATTATTAATTATGAGGTAGGTATGATTGGCATTCCTATGTGTAGTTGAGGAAGCAAGGCTTTAAAGATGTTGATCCAAACTTGATCCTGTACCAACCTCGAGAAGTACTTGATCAACATCTCTAAGCCTCAAGTCCCTCAACCACGAAAACAGAATGGAAGGAAAGGTAGAGCCCTCCCAAAAGTAACTTTTATCCCTTCTGTTCTTTTTCCTCTTCCTCCACAAACTTTTTCTGCTTTTTTTAACCCAACTTATCTGAAGCACGAAGTGTAAGCAAATGAGTTATGGTGAAATCGCTTTTAAAAAAGCTGCTATGGAATATGCGAATATGTTGGACATTCTTAAGCTGGTAGAAGCTGGGGATTGATTCAGTTTGCTCTCTATCTGTCCAGGGGGAGCACAAACCTTCGTGAACCGATTTATAACCTGTTAAATGCTGACCCCCTCCTTTCGGTTCCCGGCCCAGCACCGCTTCTTATCATCAGCCCTGTGGTAATATGAAGGCTTATCTTCCATCTGCCACCAGAGTGAGCACCCTGTAGGGGGGTCTGGCCTTTGGAGTCAAGCAAACTTGGGTGGGAGGACTTGGTTCAAGCATTTCTCAGTTGTATGACTTGGAGAAATTTAGGAGAAATTTTTCCATGCCTCGTTTTCTTCATCTGTGGTTAGGGATACTACTACTTTGAAAGGTTTGTTGTGACTTGGAAATAACAGCTGTTCAAAGCCTGAAAGGGGGAGGTGGTCATTCCATAGGAGCTGTTTCTAACTAAACTGGGGTTGATCGATAAGCTCTTTCCACAGGGGCTGCATCTTCTACTTCTTCCTTGTTTTCCTTCTCTTCCAACTCGATAACTCGTATTAAATATATCATCAATTACAGCAATAGTTCCACCAGCTGCTCTTGAGCTGAGCCTTTCAAACCCTGGTCTTAAAATAACATCAGTATGTGTCTCTGTTTGTTTTTTTTTCTTTTCCTTCTGTGCCTCCCAGGTTCCACTTTAACTCCGTCATGTCCTTCGGCAGAGACATGGAGCTGGAGCACTTTGACGAGCGGGATAAGGCTCAGAGATACAGCAGAGGGTCGCGGGTGAACGGGCTGCCCAGCCCAACGCACAGCGCCCACTGCAGCTTCTATCGAACCCGCACGCTGCAGACCCTCAGCTCAGAGAAGAAGGCCAAGAAGGTCCGTTTCTATCGAAATGGAGACAGATACTTCAAAGGGATTGTGTATGCCATCTCCCCAGACCGCTTCCGATCTTTTGAGGCCCTGCTGGCTGACTTGACCCGAACTCTGTCGGATAATGTGAATTTGCCCCAGGGAGTGAGAACAATCTACACCATTGATGGGCTCAAGAAGATTTCCAGCCTGGACCAGCTGGTGGAAGGTGAGCGCTCACTCCCAAGTGACCCTAGAGGACCCGTTCTCTCATGTTTCCACGTTGTTCTGGGCATCTGCACTTGATTGATTGCTAAGAGGTAGCATTCAGCCCAAGGCTGTGATGCTTGTCGTTCACACATTTGGGAGTTCACTTTGCTGTACTGTGGTGTAAAAAGAAAAAAAAAACAAAACAACCCACTGATGGTATTAGGTCAGGCATCTTATAATAATGGACTGAGGGAAAAAGTGTCTTAATTCTCCAGCATTTTCTGTTCCTTTTGTCATTCTCATGCTACATTTTAAAAGTCCCTTTTTATATCTTTAATTACATTGTTCATATTCATTTCTAGATGCAAATGAACTTTTGCTGTCATGATGTCTGAAATTACTTGAACTGAAAATAACTAATGGATTGTGAGATTTTTGAGTGGAAAGGAACCTTACATTGGTATCGAACCCATTAATTCTGTCACCAGAGACTGAGGCCTAGAAACTTCGAGTGCTGTGTCTGTGGTTACGTGGTGAGGTCGTGTTCATACTGGACTAGAAATTAGGTTTTCTGGCATTTCTTTCCCATGTGGTGCTTCCTTTTACGTTTAAAGGATTGTTGTCTTTCTGTGGCATTTGAAGCTATAAAGGCATTAATCTGTTCAGTGTATTGTTTTCCAGAGTCGAATTTAGGTTAAAAGTCATTATCTGTTGTAGACATTTCATGTGGAAAGAGGACTGTTTGAGTCCTTGGGTGAGACCTGGTATCTTGTGCCAGCGAAGTAGGTAGACTCGCTTCAGTACCAGCCCCATTTGAACAGCACAGAAAGCCTCTAATCACCTTAGAAATCATAAGCAAAGTAAAAAGACGTGGAGAGGGATAATGGGTTAAATTCATGCCAAGGTGCAAAAGAGGATGGCTGATCCTCTGTGGACAGAAGGAGTTCCTAAGTCTGAGGTGTTCGGCTCACGACGAAGGAGCACTCAGCACAGAGGAGCATGGAAAAGGAAGTTTAGAGTTCGGGAAGTGCTTGACTTCAGCCTGAGTTCCTATTTACTCCAGATGTATTTGCCTGGGTCTGTTGTCTTCCTGGATCCTGGAGGAATGCCATGCATGTCATGTCCTCCCTCTCTCGTGCAGGTAGCAGGAAGCATCCCTTTCAGGGGCCCGCAGAGTTTGGGGTTCCTTGGCCCTGACCACACACAGGCGAGCCCTCCTGTCCTCCTGTGGGACCAGAATTTGTACGTGATTCAAGGCTGAGGGAGTCTGTGTCTTTCTCCCATTTTCCTTCCCTTTATCCCTTGGCAGGGATGCCAGTCCGGTCACAGTATGACGGGACTTGGGAGGGTGTGGAGAGCCTGGCTTTGGTGTGTTTATTATGTGGGAATTCACATCTCTTTTCAATGACTAGTCACCCTGCCAAGATGCCTGTAGACTTGGCCTTTTTCCTTCTATTCAGATGTTGGCACTTTCAGTAAATTAAAGGGGAAGAATGAACATGAAATCTCTCTGCATCAGCTTTGATTTTTGTGCTCTGCTCTTTTCCTGACCTTGGAAAATACAGGGATAAATAAAGCATTTGGTGGGCTAGTCCAAGGGACCTGGATAAAGGTGAAATGCAAAGTCAGGTGCATGATCAGTCACCAAACCATCCCTTTGAGGACTAGTGGTAGAAGAGACAAAATATGCCAAGATCCCCAAGCACATTGTGGGGCGGCCGGGCTGGGTTTCTCACTCTGTTCTAGAATCACTTGCGTAGCATCTATGGGGTGGGGCGGTGTCCTTCAGTCAGTTGTCCACCCAGAGCGGATCTTTACTGAGAAGTGGCCAGAGATATTCCCACGGTTCCTGTCCACCCAGGAGAGAGTGTGAGGGGTGGGAGGAAACAAGAGTTCTTTACGTAAGTAGCAGCAACATCATGGCATGCTTGCCACCATCTTCTTTGTTGGTTTTTTAACACCAAATAATGCCTGCCCTAGGAGACCGCTGTCTGGAGGATAATAATGGCAGCTCACAGTTACGGAGCATGTGTCTTGCACGTATGAATATGTTTCATTCACACTGTGATCCTAGGAGCTAGGTACGGTGACTATCCTTATACTACGATGAGAAAAGCGAGGCACAGTGTGGTTAAGTGACCTGCTCAAAGTCACACAGCAAGAAATGGTAGAGTTAGGATTTGAACCCAGGAATGCTGGTGCCAGAGCTTGAGCTCATAACTGCCACTAATAAGATACCAAGTGGGGTAATCTTAGTGGCTTTGAAATGAAATTTTATTGTGGTAGATTATTCTTGAAAACAAATGTTTTTAACCTTGACTTAATTCCAGGAATGACAGCTACGGCTGTCAGAAACACCTTAATATTTTCATTTACCTCCAAATACTTTGCTCTCCAATCAGTATGAAGCAACTGCATATTGACTACTCTGATGTTAAAAAATGACTCTTGGGGAAAAAAATGCTTTTTTCTGATTAAATGAATGATAACTTCAGTACAGTGTGTACGTTCACATATTGGCTGTGTTTTTTAAAGAAATCCAGTTTAAACAGATTTTTTTCTCGTTTATAATTCTGACAGCATGCAGCTGCCCTTAGTGTTGAAGAAGCTAGAAATTCATTTAGATTGGCCTCTTTGTCAATTACATTTTTGCTTAGTCTGTTAAAATGCAAACGGTTGCTTCATATTCATCTTTAGGTTCATATCTCTCACTTTACATACTAATTTTATGTAAACGTCAGTGCATGTTATTAGCTTCTCATTTCCCTTTCCAATATGCTGATGTTTGAGTTTTAAATTAAATCCTTTTAGTGGAGGCAGTGACAGGTGTGTTTGACTTGTAATTTTTTTTTTAAGTTTGTTCTTTCTCACTTACCTCAGACTCAGAATTCTGAATTACGATGACATATGTGAGTTTCTTTATTTATAACAGTCTCGTGGTCACTTGCGCTGTTTTGTTATTATTATCCACAGATTATTTTGCCTAAATTTGGTTTAAGTGCATTGACAGAGCTGGCTCTTTGCCTCAAGTATAAATGTATGAGTGAGTTTGTATGTGTCTGGGTGTGTATGATTATAAGTGTGTCTCTTTATGCATGTTTTATATACCCACACACACGTGCACACACACGTAAGAGCACACAATGGATAGCAGTTTTAATTGTTTGCTTTCCACATGGCCTTAATACATTAAAAAAATCAGGATAATTAATAAGGAAAGTGGAATTGCAGTCCTATTTCTGCAAATGGTTCATCTTGAGACTTGGCCTCATTTTCCCAATATTGCCTCTTTTCCCCCAATTTTATACTATTTATGTTCCACCGTAGGTGTGTAAATGTTGTGAAGGTAAATGAAGAAATAACATTTAAAACCTTTAAACTCTTAGGAGAAAGATGTAATATAAATCCCAAGCATTGACTGATTGATTTTTTTCTTTATCAGACGCTCAAGCATCAGTGATGTATACATGTGTTGGGGGTGAACCATCCACCCCCCTACTTTTAAATAGGCTTTATTTTTAGTTTAGTTTTAGGTTCACAGCAAAATTGAGCAGAAGGTACAGAGATTTCCCATATGTCCCCTTCCTTCAGCACATGACCAGTCTCTCCCGTTGTCATCAGAGTGGTGCATTTGTTATAATTGATGAATCTACATGGACACATCATTAGCACCAAAAGTCCAGAGTTTACATTAGGGCTCACTCTTGGTGTTGTGTGTTCTATGGGTTTTGACAACACTGTAATGACATGTGTGCACCGTTGTAGCATCATCCAGAATAGTTTTACTGCCCTAAAAATCCTCTGTGCTCCACCTTTTCATCCTCCCCAACCCCGGGCAACCGTTAATCTATTTGCTGTCTTAAATAGGCATTCTTTTAACATCTTGTGTGAATGCAGATCTAAGAGGGCCCGGGCATTTCCTGTAAGCATTAACATAAATGCTATTCAGGCATGTTGTCTCCTGGATATAAATAAGTTAATTTGTACATCAGTTCTGTATGTATTAGAAATGAGTCCCCTTCTTTCTCAGCTCTCTCACGCACCTTGACCCCCCACTTCACCGTGGACACTGTCTGACTCTGGAGCTGGAGTGTTAGTGCTGTTCCCACGTCCCCATCAGAGTTAACCTCTCAGGAACAAGCCCACACTTAACCCCACAGTTAGGGAATCTCTAACCACGATTTCTGGTCACCCAGTTCTCTTGGCAATTTTTCTTCCCCTTGATGTGGTGTCATCTATTTCTTTCTGTAATTCACTGGCTTCTTCTTCTGTGCCTCTCCCTGCTATAGTAAAAGTTTTAAATTAATTCTGGGATGGCTGTAAAGCATACTGTCTCTAAAATTCCCCTCCAGCAAATGGCTTACTAGTTCTGTTGTGGTTGTTGTTGTTGTTTTGTTTTTGTTTTTGAGTATCATGTCAGAGATACCAGCGCAGGTTAAGGATATACATATCGTTTGCCCAGAAGGTAACTTACTGTGCTTACGGCTCTGCCCCTCCCTTTGTGCGCTTAGCAATACATCATATCATACAGCTAGAACTACTGTGTCCTTTTTACTGACTTCATAGTATTCCTTTATACAAATGTGCCCTCATTTATTTAACCAGTCTTTTATTGATGGGCTTTTATTGATAGGTTTGTGACCAATCCTTTCTTATCAGACACAGTTTTGCAGTGAATATCCTGGATTTAAGTTCTCTATCCCATGTAGGAGAACCTTTGTAGGACAAATTCCTAGAAGTCATATTGCTGGGTAGAGAGGTACGAGCATTAGACTCTTAAGAGCTGTTGCAGATCTTCATAGATGTGGTACCAGTTTATACTCCCATTGGTGACATATGAGACTGACGGTTTTCCTATACCCTCAGCAAGACAGTGTTTTATGTTTTGCTACTTTCCAACCTATTATAAAAAGAAAAGCATGTATCCACTTCTAGTTTTAATTTTCATCTTTTTGTACGATTAAAAATGCATTTGTATTTCTTTTTCTATGTGTTGTTTCTTCATAGCTTTTGACCATT